CCCTCCTTTTGATTTATGTTGTTTTAAATAACTGTTGCATTTCTATATGGAAACATGACATGTCCTTAGATGGTGAAATGCTTTTATTTGAATTACATCAATATTAGAATTTTATCACAGGGTTTTTATATTTTATTAACTTGCAAAATATTTGGAGGTTTTTTTTAAAAAAAAAATTTAACTTTGGATTGACATATGTAGAAAATATCTTCCCTGTTCCTTTAATTTATTTCTTCACTTTGCTTTAGTGTTTTTTGTTTCTTGTCTAACTTATATAGACCAACAATGCATTGAATTACAAATGAACAGAGCTGGCTAAAAAGACCGTTTGGTAACATATAATTTTTAATTGAAAGCTTCTTTAAAAAGTTTGATGAAATGATAATAGCTGTGAAAAATATTCAGAGTCATGTTCTGGAATTAGATTCAGAAAAGGAATCTAAAACGTTTACATTCCATTTGCAAATGGATTTGATAATTTAAAATCTTTGGGGCCTATTTAGCAAGGGGCGAGAAATTAATTTTTACTAATGTATTAATCCGTATTCAGCTAAGGAGGAATAATATGTATATAGGTGTTTTTCTTTTTCAATGTCTTGTTTATTTTGGGGGGCGGGGGTTTGCCTTTTTTCTATATTTTATTTTTTTGGCATTTTAATCATTTTTTTAATAAAATAAATTTTGAATCATAGTTTCATGTGTTTTCTCTAGTTGGGAGTGCTATAGATCAGGGCTTTTCAACCAGTGGTACGGGTACCACCTGTGGTACATTGGCACCTGGCAGGTGGTACACAACTATCCTAGAAAAGTGGTAGCAGGGGAGGGGAATGAGCTGAACCAGTGGCAGCACCGCACAAGATGGCTGCGAGAGATGGCTAGAGCTGCAGGGCTGAGCGAGAGATGGCTAGAGCTGCAGGGCTGTCAGGGCTCAGCGGAAGTGCTGGGATCAGTGCTGCTTTCCAGCTGATCCGTGCTTCTTCGGGGCTGTCAGGGCTCAGTGGAAGCGCCAGGATCAGCACCAGGCTCCAGCTGGAGCTCGGCGCTGATCCTGGCGCTTCTGCGGAGCCCAGAAGAAGCACGGATCAGCTGGAATGTTGCAGCATCTCCAGGGTCTTGTGATTTACATTCAGATGCTTGGCAACTGATTCATATTTATGACGGTCACAGTGTCCCAGGGTCATGTGAAGTGACCAAAACCTACTTCAACCACCCAGCAGACGGGGGGAATAAAAACCAAACACCCCACCACCACACCCCCGCTGCCAATCCTCAACAGAAATGCTCACAACAAGGAAAACCTCAGACAGGAGGAAGAGCGCAGGCGGGCAGGCAGGTGTCTTGCTCGGTTGTGGCTTGGGGGGCACTTTTTTCAGTGCCATTATAACTTCGAACAGTCACTAAACGAACTGTTGTAAGTCGAGGACTACCTGTACTTTATCACTTTTTTTCTTTTTTTGGGGGGGTCATCAAGTTTTTGATACCTTCCTAGGCGTCTGGTGGTACTTGGATGTTGCCATATCCTAAAAGTGGTACAATGGGTGAAAAGGTTGAAAAGCCCTGCTATAGATTCCAGGCATTTCATTATGGTCTCAGTTATGAGTCCTGAAAGTGGTGATCCCATAGGAGTTCCTTTGATTTGATAGATTTGTCCATTCAACTGAAAGTATGTGGTCAGGCAAAGATTGATAAGGACCATGATTCTGGGTATTTCAATCTTGGTGTAGTTGGTTAGGTTGGATAGCTGTCTTCGTTTCTTTTTGCTAGGTCTGGGTCTATAGAAATGAATAGTGCTATAACATCAAATGAGACCATAGTTTCATCTTCATCTATGGTCAGGTCTTTTGATCCTTTAGAGGCGCTATAGTCAGGATTTGATGGAGTGTTTACTTCTGTGAGGTCTACAAGTTCATGTGTCAGTTTTTTGGCAAAGTTATAGATTGTAGATATAATTGGCTGGAGAGGTATGTCTGGCTTGTAAGTTTGGGAACATCTCTTCTATGCTCTATCTGTCCATTTGAGTCTAATTGCTATGTAATCCAACCCTTACAATTCATAATGTACTTCTATATTTGTTTGTTCAGTATAACTAAATTTAATCCCTGACGAATGCACATTTGTGACCACATTTTCTTTTTTCAGTATGGCATATGTACCATTGAATTTCCATATTTTATCACTACTAATTATGTTGCTTACTTGTTATTTTTAACTGTAAATCTTTATCTGGAAATAGCATATGGATCTCTTTGGCCCATCAGTAAAATTATTTAGCCAATATAATGCTGCAAAAAAAGATTCTAACAAGTTTCCATTCCAGTGTTTAAAATTTCATGATAAAATATACTGTAATATTTTTATGTTTACCAGAAAAACTCACGTTCTGAAAACAATGGTGAGAACTGAAGATTCAGAAGAGGAATCTTCAGTAAAGAACATGGTAAGTAAAAGGTTTAGATAATACTTTTCCCTTTTTATTGGGAGTAAAATACAATCTGTTATAGGCAGATGTTTTGAAACATATAATAATTTACATTTATTTTCAATCTCAATTGTATATACAATTGGATAAAATTTAAAATTACATGACTCAAAACTACAAGCAAAACCAATTTAATTGTTTTTAAGTTGAAATTTCCTATAATTTGTTATTTTTGTAATTTCTTTTTAAACATACTGTTTCTTATGTTCAAAATTTGATAGATTCCCTGCAGTGAAATATTATCTACAATGTCATTTGTTGACTGTATGTATACCATTTCCTTGCAGTCACCATGTGTTACAGCCTATTTGTTTTTAATGTTCACTTGTCCTGATAGTGCTAATCTGAATGGTCTCATATTTTCCTGAATCCATGAATGATAAAATAGTTTTTATGAGCTGATAGCCATAGGTTTTTAATTATGAATCTGAATACTTCTAGACCCTGTAACAGTGTCTATTGTACAGGTGTCATTAGTAATATAATTAGGATACTATTGTATAGGTTACTTATGTTTATGTGCTCAACAGAGATAGCTACTTAAAGAGGTTCAGTTTTAATTATAATAAATTGTAAGCAGTGATAACATGAAGTTCTATTATATAATCCATTTCTTATTCTGCATGATTTTCTGCATATTTTGTATACATTTCATATAACTTGAAGAGTTTTTCTTATACTAGTAGAAATTAGTGAATATATAAAAATGATTAAAATAATTCCTAAATAATTTTCAACACAGGTCAGCAAAATTTACATACATTGCAGAAATCTTCAAACTGATCATTAAGAAATACTTAGAATGTAAGATATCAAATTAAATAATAGATTTTGGCAAAATTACAAATTCTATTTTAAATACCATTAATTAAAAAACATACAATTTAGTTTTCCTGTATGTTTTTTTAAGTAACCTGGCAGCTAATACGAAAAAAATGGGTCTTGCAATATTTTATATGTCCTAGGAAAATAAACAATTAGTATTTGCTAACAGGTAATTGGCGTAGGAAATCACATTGATAAAAAAAATAGACAAAACGATTCTTAAAGAATCCTTTAATATTATTTTATTAATATCTCTTTACCTTTATTTCAGCATAGTAATTCCTAATAATTACCTTTATACAAATAATTTCTTAGAAACTTTCCCACTTTCTAGAAGCCTTATTTAATTAGTTTTAATGTTTTGTTGATCACTATATCTTTAAAAGTTTTTTATAAAAAAAATCTACTGTCCCATATCAGTTATAAAACTTTATTATAAAAATGAAACAATTAGCACATACTTCAGTGATTATTAAAAACCACATTATCATTAAAAGTGGCCACTAGTTGTAAAAATATTTTTTTAATTTATTTTTGCTGCTGTGCAGCTATAGAGTATTCAAAATTAATGGGGTGTTGTTACAAAGAAGTATATAAGCGTACTCTGATAGTGTATTCCTTGTGTTTACTATAGGTGTTATGAAAATTAACTAAAATTTTAAGCAGTGTACATCTAGTTTGACTAAGTTTGACAAAACCTGTGCCTGCCAAATGAAACAATGTAGGTTACTAGCAACTAATATGTTCCTTAACTTTGACTTAATAGATACCCCAAAAAAAGACTCGATCCCATGTAAATAAGAATGTTTTACCAGAAGGGGAGACACATTGTCCAGGTAAATCATTTTTCCTTTCTCCTGGGCTCTAGAATGATTTTTCACTTCTCTGTGTAGTATCAGACTTGTTGCTCTTGATTTTTATAGTAACTGAGTAAAACTGTAGGACTTAGCATTTCATATGCATCAGTTTAAATTGTGTATCTTTGGGAAGCTTAGATAGGTTTGGACCCATAATAACCAAATGTATTAATACTCTGTTTTTCACTTCATTTAGTTTCAAAAAAAGTTCCAAAGCAGCCAACGAAAGTTACCAGATATGTTACCAAGGGAAAAGTTGTTTTGAAGGAGCTTGAAAAGATAACAACAGAATTCAAGTAAGCATCTTTTCTTTTGATTGAGAATTTCTTTATGACTGAAAACTCTGCTATGATGTTAAATGTCCCTTATCATTCAATCTGCTTTTTCGCTTTTCTAAATTGGAATCAGTGCTGTTGTGCTGTTTGGAGATATTGTAAAAACATAATAAAAGAACTACTTTAAGTAATAGTTTCTTTCTGAAAAAATATGTGTCATAGCAAATTGTTATATTTAAAATAATATTTTTTATCATCATTACTCTGGATGCTGAAGAGGGTTTAAGCAGGCTTGGGCCTCGTCACTACTTTGATAGGAGACTGTCAAAGAATATCAGGACTGCATGAAAGCTGGGAAATTTGAAAAAAAAACAACAACCAGAAGGCAGCAGCAGTTATGTGATATCAGAATTATTGTAGGAAACATGCTGACTAGCAGCAAAAGTACAAACCCAAGAATGATAATTTAAAACTTTTCAGCATTGTAAGTTATAATATTGTTTAACAGGAAAATGTTAGGTATTTGGCATTGCTGTCTAAGTATCAACCATTAGTAAGATAAAATTCAAACACCTCCCTTCGACCAGTCCGCTCCCACAGAGAGGGCCTCCTTAGAGTGCCGTCAGCCAGACAATGCCGGCTGGCGACCTCCAGGGGGAGAGCCTTCTCTGTGGCAGCTCCTGCCCTCTGGAATGACCTACCCCCCGACCTACGTACAGTTGCAGACCTGCGCCTTTTTCACCGAGCCCTGAAGGCCCATCTATTCCGTGCGGCCGGCCTGGCGTAGTTTGGATTGTGTTTCAGTGGGGGGTTTTGTATGGGTGTGTTTTTAGAACAGGCCTATTATTCAATTCGATTTTAAAACAGAAACTATTTATTTATTCGTGGTTTTTAGTATCGCCTGTTCACCGCCCTGAGTCCCGCAAGGGAGATAGGGCGG